AACAAATGTTAGAAGCACAAGAAATGTTTAGAACTGCAAATAAAGTAACGCGTCCAGAAAAAGCTCTTATTTTAGGTTTTATGGCTGGTTCGAGGGGTATGTCTATCTCTTTTACATGTATTTATCTCTTTTGTAAATTATATTTAATAATACTATCAATCATTTCGCTTGTAGATAATCCTTGTCCGAAATTGGGTAATATAGTCACAGTGATGCTTTCGGAGAACGTAGAAGAAGTAACACAGTCTGATGGAACGACTGTTCCGATGTTGGTTGAAACTCATTTCCAAATGAATTACACAAATGGCGAATGGAAGAGGATAAAGAAAAATCGACGTATTGTAACGGAGGAATCTACATCAACGTCCACTCCAGCGCCAAACGCGACCGCCACAGCTTCCAATTGAAAGAATTTGTTCAAATCGCTATAATATAGAATTTATATGTATATGAAATATCGTTTTGTGGTTATTAGAGAATAACAAACATTGTGATCATACATCTTGGTAAATTGACAAAGACGTTACTAAATTAATAATTCACATTTCATATAAAATCTAAGAATCGTTAAATTGTCGAATTTTTATCTCTTTATAACGGACTTTATCGCTTTCTTACATCAACTGTATAAGTTATAAGTCTTGATAATTTTCATATTTAGGCTTCAGTAAACGAAAATTTATTCAAATGTGCTTTGGATCTTTTGTATCTTTGCTTATTCTTTAAACATACATTTATATATGTAAGAAATATATGATTTATAATATATATTATTGATAGAAATAATATATAATGTGATTGGTCAATTTGTTTATAATACTACTATTAAAAATCTATTATATCATATACACGGATATATGAAAATATATATACATACATATATATATATATATATATTTTAATAAGAATGAATATAAGACTTCTATAATATTGTTATTTGAATAAATATGATTACATTTCTGTTTTGTGTGTGTTGCTTATGGACATATTTTTTGCAATTTGTTATTAATTATATTTATTAATCGTATTATACTTTTAAACTATTTTGCACATATAAAAATGATAATTTTTGTTTAAAAAATGTAATTTCCAATAGTTTTTTGAATAGGTATATACAAGAAACAATATTTTAGTTAGAGCTGCCAACTCTTGCTTTTTTAATTTTTTAGTTTTACGTTTATAAAATTAAAAGATTTTATAATTATTTTTAGGAGATTATATTCTAAAAATTTGCTATTATATTCTGCACATGATTTATTAAATTCGTAGAATTTATATTAGGTTACACACAGAATATATATTTATAAGAGGAACCCTATGCATGCATGCGCAATAAGCTGGCATCTCTGTCTCTCTCTCTCTCTCTCTCTCTCTCTCTCTCTCTCTTTCAAAGTGTTTCATAAC